ATATATATATATATATATATATATATATATATATATATATATATATATATATATATAATTTCCCTGCGGAAAAACAGCTTAAACCAGCCAAAGCTGGTTGCTTGGTAGCTGAAAATGACCAGCTAAAACCATCTAGCAGGCTGGTTAAGCTGGTTTTAATTAGGTTAATTAACATTAATATATTGCTGACGTATTCTTCATCCTGTTGAATATAAATATTCCTGTTTGAATATGCATCCGTCCTTCTTGGTCCCACCATGGGTACCTTGATTTCAAAGTCACATCCAAAACACGGCACAAATGCAAATCAATGTCAACTCAAAACCTTGACATCCATTTGACATGTACACATTGATGTCCTTTTGACCACAAAAAAAATATCCATACAAAAAGTATTAAATCCTAAAAGCTAAAAGTTAGCTGCAAATTTACACAGATTTTTTTACATTTTATGTAAAATCGACTTACATTTATTTAAATCGATTTACATGTTTTATGTGTATGTTTACATGTTTTATCAAGGTTTCTGCTGGGTTAGTTTTTGCAGTTTTAATTTGTAATCATTTTAGGTGTGTTTATGCAAACCCCGGATTTGGAATTATTATATTTCACCCTCATTTCTTTTCCTGAATTTATTTAGTAATTACACTCAGGGCCTTCGGGACAAAAATGACCCACTGATTAAAAATGCAATATTTCATCTGTAATTTTCACTTAGGCTTCCATTTTACTGGGAGGTTTTCAAAACTGTCACATTTTTACATTTAGTGTTGATTTTTTTTAAGTGTGACCTGCAGGGCAAATACACGTCCTTTTTCTGTTTTCTAGATTGGGGGCCAAATAAATAAAATCTGTCATTTTAATTATGCATGTATCGGTATGCATATGGGCGGAGCAGTGGCACAGTAGGTAGTGCTGTCGCCTCACAGCAAGAAGGTCGCTGGGTCGCTGGTTCGAGCCTTGGCTAGGTCAGTTGGCGTTTCTGTGTGGAGTTTGCATGTTCTCCCTGCGTTCGCGTGGGTCTAAGCCGACAAGAAAATTAATGAATGAATGGTATGGATATCCGACTTGGTTTTGCACAGTATACAGAGAAACTGTTTGTGTGTGAGCACAAAAAATTATCACACATCAATATAGTTTCTCATCAAATAACAGCTGCTTAGCCTTTACCATAGACTGTTGATTTTATAGTGTGTTTTTTTTTTTTTGGAAAAACGGTGTCATTCTGTAAACATACTGTAATTAAAAAGGTTAAATTACAGGTTTTAGTATTTATCATCAGGACTGATGCTGTTGAAGACATCCATCCAAAAAAAGTATATAATATTTTTATTTAGATTTTTTACATGCAAATTTTTGTCCACTATAGACATGTGCATATTTTTATTGACACACAAGAGTTAAAGAGTTGCAGTCAGCTTTGATGATACACTGGGTGAGCTGGGATATGATTTCATTCCAGTTACCCTTCATCACGGTCCATCAGAAACACTGACTCATATGGCTGACATATTTCTTTCCACAAACAGTCCAACTCAAACAGTACGCCATCATTTCTATCCATAGAACGACTGTCATCTCTTCTCCTCTCCTCTACAGTCCTTATCCTTATTTTCCACTCCTTCTCTCCTGCCTCTCCCTCTTTCTGAGGAATGTCCTAAATCTGAACTGCCTCGCCAGTCAAGCCAGATGCAGTCCAGTCATTCCATTGCTATTTTTAGAGGGTCGGCAGCCTTCCTGCCAAAGATCATTTAAGAAAGAGACTACAATGCAAAGTTGCTCAGGAAGATAACCTTTGTAGCAAAGAAATGTACATGATATTAATTTATCAACATTACAAATGAAATCATTATAAATGCTGTTTAAAAGTTGAAAAGAAAATGTAGGGTTTTAAAGGTTTCTGAATACTCCATTTATTTATTAAAAATAAAAAGCAATAAACAGCAATGTTGTGGGATATTATTTAAATTTAAAACAACTTGAGTATTTAAAGATGTAATTTATTCCTGAGATCTTGATTTTTCAGCAGCCATTTCTCCAGCCTTTAGCATCACAAAAAAACATTTCTAACTATAATCACCGTTTTCATGTATTTTTATGTTTGAATATTGTAAACTCTTCTATTACCAGCAAACAATTTTGTGTTTCATAGACATCTAATCGACATCTAAACGTAGACAGCTTGGCTAACACAAGGCTAAACTTGGACTGTCAGTGAAAATCTAATAAACATCTAAGAATAGCCAAAAACTAGACTAGTCGTCAAATAGACAGATTACACAGACTTTTTTTATATGTGTAGTCATTCTTTTCTGACACTTAGATGACCAGTCGATTTTTGGCCTATTTTTAGACATCTATTAGATTTTCACTGACAGCCCAAATTTAGTCTTGTTTTACCCAAGGTGACAATGTTTAGACGTCTATTAGACATCTGTTAGACATCTTTTGAAAACAAAAAACAAAAAATGTTCGCTGGGTGATGTTACAGGTTTAGAAGTTAAAATATTTATTATTTTCCACACCAAAAAAATTAAGAAAATTATATAAGCAATAATAATAATAATAAACTTTATTATTAATTGAGCCCCAATAATAATTGGTCACATAAAGAGCAGTAAATCAGCTCTACAATAAATTCTGAAAGGTTATGTGGCAGTGAAGACTGAAGTAAGCATACTTCAGCTTTGAATCGCTGGTAAATTTACATTTTAAAATATTGTAATAAAAAAAATTATAAACATTTAAATTAAGGATGGTTTTTAGTTATTATTAAAATGTCAGTTTCACATAAGGGACAAATAGAGAAGGGTGATGTAAAGTTTGTCTGTGAACTAAACAGGAAATGTATGTATGAGATTATTTTCACACCTTCCACAGGCTGTTTGTGTGCAAACGCAGGCATTTCCCACTGCAGATTCAGGGTTATTTTAGGGCCATTAGATCTCATGGTGTCTCTGTTCAGAGTACAAGTGATTCAGTTGATGTGTGTAAATTCAGCTTTAGTTGTTTGTGATTAAGAAAAGAATCTAGACTGTTATATAAACTTGTCATTTCCTCAGTAAAAGTTCTTATCTTATTTTTTGCTTATAAGCTATATAGTCAAGGTGAGTAATGAAAGTTAATCAGTCACACAACGGAAACTATCCAGACTCGCTCGCTCTGACTGATCTCGGACCAGCAGTAAAACTGAGCTGAACTAGATTTGCACATAAAAGTAAACAAAGAAGCCCTCTGTCTTTGAAACCTCGAGCCTATCAACTAGTAGAATCAAGACCCTGCATTATGATATATGAGTACTATCTCATCTGATTAAAAAGGAAAATCTATAAATGGGACTCATGTGTTGAGAGAGAAAACTTTTGAGTGTTTTTCTTGTTTGCTTGTATCCTTTCGCAGCTTATTTATGTGGGTTTTATGTATCGCTTGGTACATTTGTGGAAGCATTAATTAATCAAAAAGTAACTCGAAGTGAATAAATCTCTATTTTTGGACGAATCGTTGAAATGTTCAGATCCTTATCATTAAAATAGGGTCTTATTTTTGTAATTAGCACCATCCTAAAGCTTGTGATTATTCAACAAAGATGGTCCATTAGTTATTTAATGTATTTACTAACATAAACTAATAATGAACAATCTTAGACAGCATTTATTAATCCAACATTTACTATGGCATTATTAAAGATGCTTATTGTGCTTGTTAATATTAGTTAAAGCTATGATTATAACAGTGATTCATAAATGCTGTTAATTTTAAAGTATTGCCATTAATTTTACTCTCAAGATGAGAAAATGAAGCAAGAAATGTTTTTTTTTAGAATAAACATACATAATTCATATGTGATGGATTAGTTTGTTGGTTGTTGTGGTATAAAAAAAGAGGCAAATAGAAGGAAATTTGTTGATTACTGATTGTTTACTCCTTATTGTCAATTGTCTGATATGCAGAGCTTTCACAATGTAGAAGAGAATATAAATGGGCTATTTGTTGTTGTCATATATTAATAGTGTGTGTGTGTGTGTGTGTGCGCGCGTGCGTGCGTGCGTGTGGCAGGTTAGTGTAATTAGGCAAGTTATTGTATGACGGTTGTTTGTTCTGTAGACTATTGAAAAAATATAGCTTAAAGGGGCTAATAATTTTGTCTTTAAAACGTTTTTAAAAAAATAAAAACTGCTTTAATTCTAGCTGAAATAAAACAAATAAGACTTCCTCCAGAAGAAAAATATTATCAGACATACTGTGAAAATTTCCTTGCTCTGTTAAACATCATTTGGGAAAAATGTAAAAGATTAAAAAAATTCTAAGGGGGGCTGATAATTCTGATTTCAGCTGTTTATATGGGACATTCTACCAGAAACATACATTTTTACTCATTAAAAATGTGACAGGGCCTAAACTTACACTTGTTGTGCTCGAAAAATCCTACAAAGCAAGCATAATCATAGAATTTAATGATAAAACACTTTGGTCACTGTCAGCTTCTCAATCAAATGGTGTCACTTCCGAGTCTTTAAAGCTGTATTCTGTCAGTTAATAAAGAATAAAAACCTGAGAACCAAATTAATGACATATTCCTTTACAGAACAACTCCATCAGTATCAGTAACAAATCAACCGTCAGTAGAAATTATTGCAATAAAAAAACTTTTTATTTGCTGTATTTATGTTATTTCAGGGACAGATAATGTTCGTTTCTGGTAGAATGTCCCATGTTATGTTAAAACAAACTTTAATTTTGCATGTGACTAATTTTTGGCCTTAACATTAATTTTATATATAAATTATTTTAACACTACAGAGCCTTTGTAAAGTGATTCAAATCATTCGAATCAATTTGACGACTCATTTGAACCAAAACTTTTTGTTCGAATCGTTCGTCCTGTGAATTGGGTGTAACGTTATTTCCTGTGGGAGGAGGAAGGGTGAGGCTGTGCTGCAAACCCATCTCGCAGTTCACCGACCACACACACATTTTACACTCACACCCGGACTGGGGACACGCCGAGAAGGGCGAGCTGGACTCTCTGCCCTAGTTCAGCCATTTATTACCAGCATTATCCACTATTTGACTCTTTTATGCAAGAGAATCGAGCGTTTTTGTACTTTTCAACCAGCTGTTGATTCAAAGTGGACCACGGAAACAAAGCAGACACGGCAACCGGACTGCTGGACCAAACGCGACTTTCCCTGGCAAATGTGGTTTTATTTGTGATTTTCTTGGATGAATCACGCGTGTTAAGGTAAGGAGGATCAATTACCTATAGACTTTCGTGTCATATCTGTTTGCTGAATTGACTATTTTTAGGTAAACCAGTGATCATTAAAGGGTTTGATCTGGAAAAGTGGTTTAAGGTTAGGAACTTTGGGTGGGGATGTCCTGATCACTTCAAAGAACAGGCGCAGATCTGCTCATAACGTGATTCACAGACAGTGTCCCTCCAGGCTATGTGTTTCCCAGACCGCCTGTTATCTCGGATCTCTCTGTCGCGTCTTCTGTGTCCCCGACATCTGTTGTAATTCGTCTGTTCCAGGCCTCAGAGGGTCCGAGGGGGGCTGTGGTGTTTAACTGGCCCTTGAACAATGCTTTATTTGGAAGTTGCTTGAGTAAATATGCCTCTCTGGGAGGTGAAATGATGTAGCCGCGTTTTGTGTGACTCATGGTCCTGTTTGGGACGGGAAGCATTAGAGCACACTATGATGCGGTGGATGTGATGATGGTATTATTTTGTACAACAACGCTTTATATAGGAGAAGTTTGGGAATAGCACTGGACCAGGACTAAGTATAACTGCATTTTATCTGTGGTAAAGCGCCATGTGATGTGTTGGGAGTATCACAGACAACACCACACCAGTGTGAAATGCTCTAGAGCCAAGTTTACAAGCAAAGATCCCGCAGTGATCTGCATTAAAAACTCACATCCTACATATTCAGGTCACGTGACTGCGTGGAAGAATGTTGTTGTAGTTTTTCTGCCGGATGTGTATTCAGTTATTTGTTTGCCCTTAAGTTTAAAGTAAATTAATAGTCTTTTTGTAAAGTTATGCACATGGTTACAGTCCTATTAGTGTTATAATAAAAGAAGATTTGATGTAGGCTACTGGTGTTTTTATTGGAATAACAGCAGGCCATTACAATGTAAATACAACAGATAAAAGTATAGTACAAACAATACAGAGATTACTTTATTGCCGTAAGCGATACATGACAGTTTAAAAGAAGTGTTTGAGCAATGTTTATTTCTATAGTGCTTTTACAACGTAGATTGTGTTAAAAGCAGCTTATCATAAAAGTTCTAGTAAACTGAAGCTGTGTCAGTCCGGCTTTCAGTGTTTGAGTTCGGTTTGGTGTGGTTTAATTTCACTGCTTAAAGTCTAACAATAGTATAGCAAAAAGGAAGAAAGTAATTATTGTATTGGTGTTATTGGTGAAGTTTGGCCCCCCTCGACGGGGCATCACGTAACAAGCTGGATGTTACCTTTGGTTGGAAACTTTTTGCTTGTTAATTAATAACTGGCTATATTAGAAACGGCGTTGGTGTGTGAAAGCTTTCATGGTGCAGTAGATTAGCAAACACTAAAACAAAAAATGACATACTCATGGATAGGCATGGGCTGGTATAAGTTTGTGATGGTATGATAACCTTGAATAAAAATATCACGGTTTCACAGTATTGTGATTACTGCTCTAAAATAATGTTTTAATTGTCTTAATTCAAACAACACACTTTTTCCACATTAAACCCAATATACAGTATTTCACTTAAGAATTTTTTATATTTTGTAGTTTGCAGTAAACCCACTTCTGCTGGGTCAATTATTTTACAATCACAGGTTTCTTTATAACACATAAAACAAAACCTCTACATATACCTTAGGAAAGGTATAACAACATTTATTGAGGTTATAAAACCTTGACTTTTTCAAACCGGTTATCGTCTCATGCCTACTCACGGATAACTAAAGTTGTAACTGTAATCAGGTGTGGAAGGAGAACTGAAAAATCAAACTCGTGTAAAACTACCATTACTTACACAAAAATGTAGTGCAAGTAGAGTAACAGTATCTGTTGTAAATATTATTCAAAGTATGAATAAAAAAGCCTTTTTAAAAATACTTTAGAGTAGTGAGTATTGAGTATCATGCTGTTAAAAGCTGATGCGTTTACATACAATTTGTGCAGGGATGTGTAGTAAACGTAACATTCTGTAGTGCATTTAGTGAATATTCAAGGACATTTAGCGATTTCAGTCATCATACGTACATCCACCGTTTTCTCATCAGTGACATGACATGTAGTCTAGAGAGTCTCTGGGTCATTGTGTGTAAAGATTTTGGACATCTTCTTGGACAATTTTAATACTCCAAAATGCATTGCTGCATTTATAAAGCACCCATGTGTTGAGATTGTTCGTATTGTGCGTTTTATGCAGACATACTTGCACTTTCCGCATCAAGCTGCTTTCGTGTTCTACTGTGCCGGCATTTAACCAATAGCATCTCTGCAACAAAGTGATGTCATGCCGCACGCGTTACTGTTTTTGTGTGAAGTCAAGAAAGGGGTCTAACTCTGTGCCATAACTATAGATGTGTTAAAAAAATAATGAGAATATATACATATGTTCGAGTCCTGATCGGGAGGTAATGTCCGAATCCAATCGAGTCTGTAACCACGAGATCAGACCCGATTTCCGATCACGTGATCGGATCTGTACATGGCTATCAGCAATAGTCACATTGCAAGATATACAATGTTGAGTTGTGAATATATATGACCAGAAACACATGAGTTTTGTGGAGACACTGCAGAATTGAACCACAATAGAGTGAAAGTTCATCATCTGCATGTGTTTTAAGTCCTATGTTAACATTATAAGAATTTAAAGCATTTTAGGAGAACGTAAAGAGCATTAATATAGTTTTTTTTTCATGATGAAGACAATGCAATGCTCTTTTACATTTGATAATTCAATTTCTGTACCCAAATAATGTTAGACACTGCCCAGAAAACCATGGAGCACTGTTTGTTGCACTTTAACTTTTGGTCCATTGTGTTTTTTTATGACTGTAGTACAAATCACAAACAAATACTGTAACAATTCACATATAATATGTTTATATTTTACTTCCATACAAATCATCCCAATCAATCTAAAGTCCTGCTCACACTGTGAGATTTTAGCCATAATTCTGTCATCTGAGACATATTTTGGAAATCCTAAAAGATTCCTAAAATGCTAGGCTCAAATCGGTGGTCTTTAATCGTTGGTTTTTCATGTTCACAGACAGCCATTGCGATCAGATTTTTTCTACTTTGAAGTTCAGAAACTTTCCATCAGTGTGACAACAGCTGCGATGAGCGTCAATCCAAGAACTAATAGGAGCGCCGAATTTGATGACTTGATTTTTGCGGCAGTCTGACATGCTACAATCATTCAATATTATAAAAAAATCACGCGGTGTGAGCCGGCCTTTAAGTAACGACTTTCCAAATAGAGCTGTTTAAGTCATGAGGTGAAATTGTATTTATATCGCAATGTATATTTCCGGGGTAAAATTATATATCGCAATGTCAAATCTTTGTCAAACGTCAAGCAGCCCTACTATAGTGTTGTGGTTAATGCTACCTTATATGATATGGATTTGTTTTGCTTACAAATAAAGATTTGATCTTCCAAATGTAGAAATAGCAGTTCCTTTGTACTATTTAGAAAGGACGCAATCAGAGGGAAATTTGAATTACTGTGAATTATCTTTGAGGAATATTAGTTTTAATTTTATTAAAGTCTTTCACACCCAGATTGATGTTTTAACTAGGAAAAAGTTTGGATATTTTTTTATTCAGTAGTCGAGGAGGTAAATTTTCTTATACAAAAAGAGACGGAATTAGGTTGTAAATGAATGTGAGAAATTTGTTTTATGCATATGCAAAAAAAAAAAAAAAATCACAAAATGGCATATTATGGCAACTCCTGTGTGTTTGTGCATGTGTGTACATGTTTAATAATCTGTTATGAACAGGCAAGACATATAAAAAGGGGTCGGACTTGGATCTGAATAAAAATGTGGAACAGAATAAAGTGTTCATGAATTCATACAACATTTACGACTGTGTGATGCAGACTAAAAAGCATTCAATATTACAATATCATTCATTTATTAATTCATTATGATGCTTTAACTCAGGGGTGTCAAACTCAATTCCTGGAGGGCCGAAACCCTGCACAGTTTAGTTCCAACCCTGCTCCAATACACTTACCTGTAGGTTTCAAACAAGCCTGAAGGACTCAATTAGTTTGATCAGGCGTGTTTCATTAGGGTTGGAACTAAACTGTGCAGAGCTGCGGCCCTTTTGGAACTGAGTTTGACACCTGTGCTTTAACTGATACAAGTAAAATGTTCCAAATGTAATACAGATGGAATTTTTATAAAATATTTCATTGTTAATGGTTTGAAAAAAATACAGATCCATCTAGGGCTGCTATAAAAATCGTCTGTTTTCAAAATGCATAAGATTCATAAATGCATATTAATTCATTATTTAATAAATTAAAATGTCCTTACCAGATTGAGTGGAACACAGAATGTGTAAAACCCAAAAAGTTAAGGTAACTTAAACCATTTAAGGGAAACCGATTGAAACAAACAATTTAAGTACAAAAACAAATCCTAATGAGTTCTGTGAACTTAATCAAATTGAGTAAACGAAGCAATTAGAGCACAGTAAAACCCAATAAATGAAGAGACCTCAAACTAACCTACTACAGTAAAACCCAATAAATGAAGGCAACTCAAACCTGTTGAGGAAACCGATTGCTACAAACCATTTGAGGTAAAACAAAATAATTTATATGATGACTGTTAACTTAATTCAAGTTGAAGTAATGAGGTTTTTAATTAACTTCAAAACTCTTTTCAAATGAGTAGAATTAACTTTCAGTAAATTTTGAATTAACTCTACTCGTTTTATTTCATAAAGTTGACTGTTGGGTTTTACAGTGTAGGTATGTATACCTGGCCCGTCAGTACAATTAAACCTACGGTGGCAGTCTTAAAAGTCCTGCCATACTTTTTTGTATAGAAAGTATTGCACTCAAAAATAATCATGATATGGGGGAAACATTATCAGTCTGTTTTTCTGTTTCATTGTAACTTTTCCCTGTTATATGTCTAAATAAACAAGGTCTCATGTAAGCAATTGTGAATTTGATATAGTTTTTTGTGCATTATGAAGTTGAGTC